CTGATGTGTTTTGCGAAGACCTTACGAAAATATTATTTTTTTTCGCAAAACACATCAGTCGATTAAGTTTTAGACGCTGATCATGAACATGAGCTTGGTTTACCTCAAAGTGCTTGCTTCATAAAGAAAAACACAAAAGAAAGTTATATTATACTTTTCTCTTCTTTCTTTTTGGGAAAAGAAAGCGGGAAAGTAAAAACGTTCTTTTCTTTTAGGAAAGCAATGTCAGTTTTTACTTTTCTTTTTTTGGGAAAGAAACGAGAAAGTGCCACCCCTAGTTGAAAGCGCTTTACGGCATTGTTTGTATTCAGAGTGATTTGTTTGCCTCATTCTCATGGCTGACAGACATACTGTATTCATAGTTCACGTTGACCTTTCCATCGCTCATGAATGGTTATAGATAATGAATGAAAACTGTTATCATATCTGCTCATATGATAGAGTATAATCTCTGCAGGTTTGATCTAAAATCGATTGTATATATATGTTAGTGAAAATTAAAATTCCACTAGACAAAAATGACTAACACCAATATTTCACAATCTCTGTTATAGTGGGAATGAAAATAGTCGCAGAAAGTTGGGGGTACTGCACAATTCAAGTTTTGGGTAAAAAAGCATTTCAGACTGGTAAAAATTGGCGAAATTTTATTTATTTATTAGATTTGTCCAAGTACTATTTCGATGTACTGCATACTATTGATCACAGATGTTTACCAGTTGTTACACTCATTCAAGCTTGTAAAGAATATGCGAGTACAGCAAATACAATTGTGGAGCTTGAAGTTTAGTAGCGAAACTGTGCGTCAGAAAGTTGTCCATGTCAAATTAAAGACATGAAATATTGCACAAAATGTGATGCCAAGAAAAGTATCTGTGCAAATGCCAAATATTGTTAAAAAAATAGTCATGTGATTGTTTTGTTGACTAATAATATTCTCAATAAAAGGGGACACCCCTTCTACTATCAGTATCGTATGACACGTTGCTCTACTCAATTTTCGATGTTGATTCTGAATATGATATTTTACTGTATAAAAGATGATTTCTGATTGAGAAAATTGAGAACTATGGGGAGAATTCCGACATTTTCGCTCCTGATTCGGAAAAAATGAATTTTTTCAGGGACAAAGCAAAACGGAAAGAAAACGATACTCAAAAACCTTTCAATTTTTTTGAATTTTTCCTGTCAAAAATTTTCTGATCGATCCTGACCTGAGCTACATGAGGACCTGAACTATTGTCCATCCAAAAAAACAGTGACCTCGAATTTTTTTAAATAACTTTTAATAGAAAAATGATAGAAAGCTGTGTTTTTCAGATTTGGAAACTAGATACTTGATAAAAAATCGTTATTAGAAAAATTTTCTAAAAAATACCTACACTATGTGAAATAACCCATTTCTGATTATTTCAACAAAAATTAAAAAAATCATAACTCAGCCAAAATCCATCTAACCTACTTCATAATGTCAAGTTACAGTCTATTGTATCTGCAATATATCGTAAAGCTCAATAAATGTTATAAAAACCAACAGAAAATACTTTTGGTTTTTAGATTTCGCAGAAACCTTCGGAACTAAGAGGATATTTTTTATTAATTTTACGCCTATGGTCGAAGTTCAAATTCAAGGGGAAAGTTTCAGGTCGAATGGACCTTTCCTTCTAATTGGGCCAAAACCAGGGAAAGAGGAGCAACTGCTTCTCTGGATTTTGGTCCAATCGGAATGGGATAAAGAACATCCAACAGTCAATACTATTGAAAATATCGTTAAAGATTTAAAAGCAGAACGACAGTCACTTGATTGGTGCTCAAAGGCTGTGAATGAACTTTTGGGATTCGTTGTAATTTGTTTTCTAAATATTTGTTAAACATTTCGGTTCAATATTCAAGAAGTGAGTAATTTGTTTGTTTGTTGAACATGTTAGATTCAAGGCAATCAATAGTAAAAAAAAGCTGAGTAAAAAGTTCATACACCAGCACATTGGTGAAAACCGATGATTTGTCACAAAATGATCGCTTTTTCGGTTGAAAGCTGCGTTTGAACCAATTGGGTTTTTGATCGTTTTATTTGAAAAAAAAAGTTCGGTTCTGACCGCAGTTATGAACGAATTGTTTTCGCTACAAACTGCTGATAACCACGTTTACTCATGAAAATAAACATTTATAATAACAAGGGCACCTCATTCTAGTAGTACTAAGACCAGGTCACTGACATCTGCAGTTCATCTTGTGACAAACTACCTTTCTCGACTCTAGTCATAATCAATAGTCGCTCATAATCACAATTGTAGGCATGAGTCTGCGTATAAATGGGCAGTTATCGGCTTTTTTCGTGCTTGGATTCGGATTAGCCGAAATAGTTGTAAAGTGTCTCACAACTAATAAAACTGGTTCACAGTCTGTCGATTGGTGAAAAAAAAGTGTCTCATTTCGTGCACTTATCTTGCTTTGGAAAAAACGCAATTGATTGGATGAAAGTTCTACAGAAATAGAGCTGTAAATCAAGACTCTCAAATCTGTTTCTCTTTTATGAATTCTTCCTACCGTTACTGAAATATTTACACAGAAACCGCCCTCTCTGATGTAGAATAGAAGATATCTCAGTAACGATAGGAAGAATTCATAAAAGAGAAACAGATTTGAGAGTCTTGATTTACAGCTCTATTTCTGTAGAACTTTCATCCAATCAATTGCGTTCTTCCAACAAGAAAACTGCACGAAATAAGAAACGTTTTTCACCGGTCCACAGACTATCACGAGCAGTTTTATTAACAGTCATTTTAGAAGAGGAAGACATTGAATGCATACGTGTTCGTGCTTAATATATCCTTGGAGGAAGCTTAGATAAGGTTAAAACTTGTTTTAAAAGAAATCTGGTCGCCTGAAAACTACCGTCATCTGTTTTGGAAATGAATCTCTCGTCATATGTCTGAATAGCGTTTATCGGTCTCAGCAAACTATCAGATTAGATAGAGATAAATCAGTTTCCAAAGAGAAGTACAAAACTCTACAATCAAAGAATATTTCCTCATGCTGATTATGTGCAGTTTGACGTTATTAGGGTTCGTTCTCATTTCACTATTTGTTTGCTTTTGATCAATGACGATGATCAAATGGGTATTCGTCTTTCTGAACAGTTAAGCAGCTTGTAAGAAGTTACCTGCCAATAACAGCTGCCAATAGCAGGTAACTTAAGTAGATGCAAAAAGCTAGCTGCCTAAAGAAAAAATGTGGAAGAGGAGGCCAATATGGTGACCGATAAAGTAACGTTTTTTTATTATAGTTACATTTTTAAATGACTAAATTGCATATAATGCATGTTTGATAGAAACAGGAGATGAAGCGCTAAAATAGATATAATTAAAGCTGATAGAAAAGGCAAGGCGCCATCTATCACTTAATATCCTTTTGTTGGTTGATGAAACGATGAGAACGCATTTTTAAAACTAGACCGTTATAAGAAAACGGACAAAAGAACTGTTATTTTCTGCTGTTGTATCGAAGTTGTAGTTGTTTTCTGAACCCTGGCTTTTGTTGCGAAGGTGATAAAAATAAATGAGATGAATTCCCATGCCATTTTTACGAGGGACTTTGCTGATGGGTTGCATTTCGTTGCTGTTGTAGTAAAAAACTTTCCTGTAATGAGCATTAGTGTTATGGTTTCAAGTATCTACGTCAAATGTTAAAGAAGCAAGATCTGTACTAGTGGAGTTTTTTCTCAAGCACATGACTTTGTGCTCAAGAAAGTCACATTCCTGGCTAATGTGATACACAATCTTTTTTGTCTTAAATGTTTCTCTGCGGTTTTTTTGGCGTTTATGTCTGTTTTCTGATCTACTTGAAACTAATTTATTTTAAAAAGATGAAGTATTTTACAAGTTGAGTATACAGCCATTTTAAAGAGGACGAGAGAGGAAGCTAAAAGAAAGAAATCCGTTCTACTTGTCTATAGTCGTAGAGTGGAACTATTCTTCTTGAATCAGTCTATGTATTCAGGACCTGTTATCTTTTCCACATACTGCACCAACTCTAAGATATCTTCCTCTGTATAGACTCAGTTAGATAAAGTGATTAAGATCTCAAAATACAGATGCACAGAAGTGAGAAAGTGCATTCAAAGATTGATGTCTTCACAAATGTGAGTATCCTCGGTGTAAGATCGCTTTGCCGCTAGTGGCTCTTAGGATGTAGTGAGGATCAGTTCGGTCGTGTTTGATGCACAGAGAATTGGGACTCAGCCATTCCGCCTCATTCACAGGATGCTAGATTGACTCTGGCAACGAACTGATCCGAGCGCTAATATTCACGGGTATACATTCTCTGAAAATCCAAGCGTGAATGCTCGATGCTTCACATATGGTAAACGTAACCTTATTGGTAAAACTCACAAGTGAATAAACCAAAAAACGTTAGCCTCTCGCTTTTATTTTGAGGTCAGGTCGAACTAGAATTGAGAATCACAATGGAGAACTTAGTAAATTTGAGAAAGAAGATTATGGAGTAAAAATTGATTGCACCATGTTTTTAAAGAAAAGTCCGAGTAAAACATGATGGAATCAAGTCGAAAAAAAGAACTAGAGCTTTTTAGAAAGCGAGAGAACGATTAGGCATGATTTTCTTGGTATATGCGTTTGAGGGTGTGTGACCAATTAGTCGTTTACCTTCAGATAATGCTAATGGTAAAACATCGTCGATATAATTGTATTGGGTTAATCTTTCAAATGGTTCAAAAACAATCGGCTTTGTCACACCTGCATAACAAGCCTCAAGCCATCCCATAATCTGTGCTGGATATTTTGACTTTTGATGAACTCCACCACGTTCATCTGCTTCAGCTCGAGTAGCAGCATACACTCGATCATTGTGTCGATTAAATATTCCGTCAACAGTAAAATATTTCTCATCTGTAAACAAGATCTTTTGAATGGATGCCTTTGTCAGTGATCGACGAATCCAGTAAGCGAATGCAATTCGTGCTTGCTTGTGAGCATCGGTTAATTTTGGCTCAATTGTAATATGATAAGCACGAAGCCCAAGATCCTCCTTGACTATTCTTCCCATTGATCGTTCTGAAATCCCAAGCTGGAGAGCCATTTTTCGTACGCTTTGACGTGCATTTCGTTCATAGCGTTTTTTAACCTTCATGATGACATTTTTATGCGTATCTCTCTCTCTCTCTACACTATAATTCTAACGCTCTTCAACAATGAGATAATGAGCACAATTATTTATTTTTCTTTTATTATTAGTCGAGTAAATTCATTAGATATTTTGTATTTTCTTACATAAATATCGATTTGTCACCTCCTTCTTGATGCGCAATGGCTGACTGGTATTACTTAGCCATCTGGTAAATGTTACTCATTCGTGACGTGTTGCTCTACTGATGTTCGTTTAGTTATTGTATTAATTAACCTTCTCTCTAACCCTCTGTGTTATTTATATATTTTCATTATTTGTCGCTGTCATCGACATCTTTTCAATAATGCTTGCGAAGAGTTGATGATCGTCAGGATTGATTTCGCCGCGACAGACACCAAGATGCCAAATAAGTGCTGTTACATGTGCACAGTAGCCAACATTACGCGCCCCTGTCGAACAAGTACAAAACCACCCTTTAATTGGTTCGTTTTCATCTTCTTCATCGAAGTACACAGTAGTTACATCTTTTTTTCTACTGGATTGCCTGGATGCAAAACGTACTCGAACAAGATCATTATATTTGGAGGAAAGGTCAACAATAAATTCATATTGATCGTCACCGAGAAGAGACGGCCTCATATGTTCAACAATATAGCTTTTCGCTTGTTTGATTTGGTATGTGCCTAAATCGAAATATGGTATCTGATGTGACGATAGAGATTTAGCCGAGAATTGCCAAAACAAATATTTTCTACATCATATTTTGACAGAGTTGGAAAAGTGAACATTTGTGCGTCAAACTTCTTCCAGTGTGGTTTCTTTTCAGATCTATCGATTTGTTGTAAACGCTTTTCTAGTTGGTTTTCTTTGTCGCGAAGCATTAGCATCCGTTCTGCTCACTTTTTGCCGTCTTCTAGGTTGATGTTGTTTGTTTAGCCGAAATGCACGTTATACCGCAGTTGGCAACATTTTCATACGTCTATTGATAAAAATATAAATAATAAAGAACGATCTAGGATTTCTTTTATTGAGACTGATTGACTAAGTTTTGGAGTATAGGCGATATTTACTCATTGAATGAGGCGAAAAAACGAGTGCATGCATGTAACCATACGCGCAAAGTGTGGTTGTAAACAAATAAAGAGAAGCGACATTCTCCAAGATGAGAAATAATTATTAGTTTTTTTGTATTAATCAAAATAAATCATTTGATTTAATTGATATTAGAATAACAAGAAAAAATCGCTTAAGTTTAGTTTATTTGGGAAGTGTTAACCCTTTGAGTCCGGGATTATTATGTCAAAAAATAATCCCTCAAAGTAGCGACATTCCTGTAACTCAAGAACTATAGTAGCTAGGGACTTCTAATTCTGTGGGGTCATAGCTCTTAC